TTAAACATTTTATATGTATTTTCAGTCTTTCAGTGAGACAGACAGTGAATCTTACTGTGAGTCTATCTGAGCCCTATGCAACAGACTATCCATGAAAATTCTCTAGATCACTACCAACTGTAGCTCGAATGTGTATTTGACCCACCTAGTGCTTGTTTTTTTCATCTTGTATAAGAAGACCATGACACATGCAAAATTTAATAATAACCATGTAAAAAAAAAAAACCCAAAACAAAACATTTTTCTTTCTTTTCTTCCTCTTTTCTTTTGAAAGTGTTTCCTCTGCCACTTTGAAAAGGGGACTGAATGCAATCCTTTAGGCATCATGTGCAGCCTTCCAAAAAGGAAAGCTGAAAAACAAACTGAACAAGCATTAAGAACTGCAAGTAAAGCAATTCAGTTACATAATGGTGGAATGGTATGTCACAAGGCTGAGGAATGAAGTACCTGCTTCTCAGTGTCTTAGTCAAATTAGGGATTGCAATGAAGTTCACAAGGGGTTTAATAACCCAATCATGGGGTTTTGCATGTTATCTTTGTATTGGTTAGTTAAGGATAAATTGGTTAGTTAAGGATAAATCAGTAACTTGGGTTGGCATACTTAAGGGTAAAGAAACACCACAGCGCCTTTTTATGTATCTGTTTGAGGAGGAAACAGATCAGGAAAGTGAACAATAATCTCTGAAAGCAGGACAAAGCACAAAACTGTACTGTTATCAGAAAGTGATGAATTAGAAATGGTTCACCACTGTGTGTGTGCATGTTTGTGGTCTGGAGAAATTATTATGGGGCTGGCAAAAATGTTTTCCTCTGAAAAGAGGAAAATAAGGGAAAAAATCTAGTTTTGTCTCATTTTTTCCTCTTGGGAACAGCTACACTGACATCAAAATTGAAATACATTTTAAAATTTTAACACCTTTAAATTTAAATATTCTAACTTCACATTTTGGTTTCAATGACAGCTTATTAAGAACAGACTCTTACTGGAAGGTCATGCAGGATTTGCTTTTTAAAACATTTTTTAAAAAATTTTTCTGAGTTTCAAATTCTGCAAGAGAAAAACATTTCATTATCATGTGAAAATCAGTCTTGGCCTTTACACAGCTTTCACACCTCTGCAGATCCTATAAAGAACAGCTTCTTCACACTGTAAAGGTATGTCATTGCACTTTTTAGTTCACTGTCTTTTTATTGCTGTACCATTTTAGAAAGCCAAAATAGTTAGAGTTTCATATTACTCTGTAAACTGCACATGTATGTGTGATAGCAACACATACATGTGAATAGGGGATCTGAGGTGTTAAGTTCTCTCTGAAGAGACTGAGGAAAACAATACAACTCATTTAGAAAAGTGTTGGGATTCAAGAGGGCTTTCTGCAAGAGAATGGACATGTGAGCAATCCTGCATGAGAACAAGACTGCTAAGAGCCTCAGCTGAGCAAGAATGCGATAAGGATGTGACCCTGAATGAGGGGGGAGAGACTCGATGAGACAAACAACCCCCGGAAGGGGTTGGGACGGCAGAGGAAGTTACACAAGGCAGGAAGCCTGGCAAGGCTGATGTGGCACCTTTATCCAATCATAAGAAGGTTTAAAGCGCGGGCTAAGTTAACTGTCCAGTCTTGAGGACTTGTATTGCATGTTACTCACATGTGTGGGAGAACATTATAAAAGGGCTTTCTTAGTTGTAATAAACGGGCATTGCTTGATCACATTGGTCGTGTGCGTGCTCAGCTCTCCCGCAGAAAAGATTTACAATTCATGCATGTTTATTAGTACATTTAACTGCTTAATGCCAGCTTTACGAAACAAATTGCATTTATACCACCCTGATAGTTACTTAATTGTGCATGGATAATGAAGGCAGAAAATCTTCAAGCAAAGCTGTGACTTCAGAATTAAATTATGAATTGAAGCCTTTTCTTCAATATCAAAGTCTTATTTTTGAGTAATGGTTACTAATCTGCTCAAATTGTCTTAAAGAACATCAGGGGTCTCACTGTGGGAAGTTCCAAGGCTGTTTTTCAAAAGATGACTGACACCACCCACAAAAGGGGTAAAATTTACCTTATTTTTCCCTGCAAATTTTACTTGCATAGTGTTCCACAATGCAGTGTTACAGATTGGAAATGGAGCTGCAAGAAGCAGAAGTTCTATAAAGATATAAGCAATTTCGTATGTATATATGTATAAGCCTGTACACATTTTTAGATCGAGCCTTACAGTATAAGTACAACAAATAGTACCTTCAGACAGACTGGTCGGAAGGAATAGGTTTAGGAGCAGGTTGAAGGCTGGCAAGTGTGTGTCCGCGCTGCCATTTGGGGTTAGTGATGGCATCGGTGCCTCCTCTGTGACACGGGGTCCGTAACGGGTCACATCCTAATTGGGGAGCCCTTCCCTTCGGCTCCTTCTGTTGGTATGAACCTACCAATAGGTCTTATGAACGAAGAAACCTCACTGGAATGGTGTTTTGCTTTCAACTATTTCACAGACTCTGTCTGTAAAACACGAATGTTACTTCATGTCACTTCATGTGAAAACAACACAAGAAATGCAAGTGTTTTCCTCTGAATGGTGGCCATACTGGGCTCTTCTCTTTCTGTACATCAGCTTTAGTAATGACAGTCTTATGTTCCTCCAGTCTCACCCATGTAATTCCCTCCTTTTTTATTCCTAATCCAACATAGTAATGATCTAATGAAAACTGCAGTGGGGAAAAACTATTATAATATGAGCAGCAAATACATTTTTAAATTCCCCTCCTCACCCTTAAGGACTTCTGTCAGGCTGCTCAGCACAAAGATGAGGGAACCATGTAATACCACAGTCCAGTCGGCAAATCTGGCATATACAGTCATCATGTGACTGAAAAAACATTTATGTTTTGCAAAGAAAAAAAATCAGTATGTGCTACTGTAGCACACCTCTACACCTGAAGCTACCAGTGGCTGCAAGCACTCTGACTCAGGCAACTTGAATTTTCAATAGTCAGGCTAGTTCACACCATTATCTGAGAAGTGTCAGATTTAATCCACCCAGTGATCCTCTGATAAGTTTTTAAAAGAGTGTATTGCTTTGAAAATCAGTAGTTATGCTGGGAGAAAAAAGAGGGGGGAAAAATAAAAAAAAAAAAGAAAAAGAAAAAAGAAACAAAAACTCGAACTGGTTGTGTAACATGGTCTTTACTAAAACAGGGGCAATCTTGCATTTCCACAACAACCTTCTGAAATCCACAGACACCCAGCAACCACAGTGCTGTCACAGGTGCGGGCAGGGCAAGAGTTTGGAGATTCATGGCCCTGACAGCTCGTTCCTGATGTTAGTTTTCATTAGACAATAAGGAAAAGGAAATCATTGCTGTAACTTAGAAAGTAGCTACATTGGACTTTTTCAGCCTCAGGATAAGCAGTCTGCTGCAATTCAGCCCAACCTCAAATAAATAGGGACAGAAATCTATACTGTTACTGTTTTGTTTTTTTTTTCCTTTATGCAACATGTAAGTTGTTCTTATTCTCAACATAGTAATTTTAAAATCATTCTGTGTACAACCAGTGTCTATTTACCTCATGTCATCTTGAATCTATACGTACAAAACCTTGCAGTTAAACATTTGTGTTACTAATACCCAATGTATTTGCCTCCCTGTTCTCTAGAGTCTAATGGACTCATATTTTAGACTGTTAGATACATTTAATCAGTTTGCCAAAGCACATATAGATTGAATTTTGCACTTGGAAGGGTTTTTTGTTATTTGGCCATATGACTTTTCTATATGACATGATAAATCTTTTATGGAATGCCTAATCTGGCCCATTTTGTGTCAATTTAGATGTTCAGCACTTTCAGAAATGAAGGTGTTTAAATTCAGGGTTTAACCACTGCACATGCAGTGCTACTTACTACTTCATATAGGCTACCTTTAAACTCTCTATTTGTACATGACTTCTATATATTAGATCTGATATAACATCAGACGTTGTTATGGGCAAGAGCCAAAATACCTTTGTACTTAAACAAGTGAGGACATAAATAATGACCTTATAATCTACTTTTAGTTAAGAATCCCTCAATGTTTGGGCAGTCCAATCTGAAGTATGTTTCACAAGTTTGTGGCCACATCTTGTTCAAACACATGTAGTCCTACACAAGTTAATGCTTATGATTTGGTAGCCAAGAACAGCATACATCTTGTTTTTAATAGTAAAATGGCTAAACTGAATATGTAACGTTGTGATATGCCTAGAAAGTGCTCTTTCTTGATCTTAATTTTAACTACTGAGTGGCTTTCTGGTCCTCTATTCCACCCTTTTTTGTCTGGTTAGTCTAATTGGGGCACTAAGGACTTCCAATAAGTTGCTTAGAAATGTCTGATCTGAGGTAGACATCCACCTTTCTTTTTCTGGTGAAAGCGACACCTCCAGTGAGAGTTCTTCCATTCCAGTACAGAGGTCTAAGGCTAAGGGATGCTGCACAGTCTTGATACTGCCTTCTGACTGCAGGGAAGGTGTCTGCAGTGCCTGGCAGTTCTGGTATCCAGAATTCTCCTGCTGGCAAAAATACTGAGTTATGCAATAGATTCTTCCTTGCCTGTTGGCCTAAGCTGTCTTTGGAACGAGACACAGGGAAACAATGCACAACTTCATCTCTCACCATCAGGTTGGGATCTGACAGTTATACATGCGAAACCAAACTGCTTGATACACTCCTGCCACAGTGACATCATAATTCTAGCCTCAAATGGGTAGGAAAAAGTGTGGGGTTTAATTTACTGGAAAAAAAAAAAAAAGAAAAAAAAGAAAAAAAATATTAAATTATGGATAGAATTGTATATTAAACTTGAAGATGACAATGATTAAATGAAATTAATTCCACCTTTCCACCTTAAAGCGTATAGTATATGCATATTTGAAGGGATTTGATACATCTGTAGGTAAGTTGTTTTGTTATCATGTTTATCAGATGGACGTTTCTTGTAATACTGTGGTTTTCTTTCATAGGTCACACTTCTGTATGCCTTTCTTCACATGAGACACAGCTTGAAATATTTTGATAAAATGAGATGCCTGCGGAAACGATCAGCAGTGTCATTCTTAGGAGTCCTTGTCATTTGCTTGCTGTTTATGAACTTGTACATTGAAGACAGCTATGTTTTGGTAAGTTTTTTGGTGGAAGAAATGATCCTTGCACAACAGAACAGGACATATCCATAGTTAAGCAGTAAAGTTTGTAATTCCTGCAATTTCCCCTGTTAGTGTACCATTAACAGTGAAGTATCCTCGAAATGTGTCCTTTATGATTAAGCCATCTTATCAATATATTCTGCACACAGACTGTGTCAGTAAGACCCTAACAGTCATTTTCACAGAAGTAAATATGTCATTGTCTATTGGAAGTATGGGAAATAATGAATGTACCAAAACATGGAGGTACCTCCATCAGTTACCTTTGAGTCAAAACATCCCCTGTATTTTCCATACTTCTGGATTTCCCTCCACTTTAATGTTGAAATTTGCCTACATCTAAAATATTCATGTGAGCTAGGAGCTCATTTTTCAGTTCACACTGCAAATCTCATGTGTGAATACTGTACTGAACAATATTATAGAAATACAATTATAGAAGAGAACTTACACCAATTCCATATATTTTAAGCTCCTTGCATGAATAATTTCTTTTTAGTATTTTTATTTTGTGGTTTTCTCACTTTCTGAGATTTGAATCTGGTGGGTTCAGTGCTCCCGTGTGAGCAATTAGACATAAATGATACCTAGTGTAAGTTTATGATTGTGAAAAAGATTAATGTAAAGATTTATGTTAGGAATTTCAACAAGTTACTGACATTGTTATATAACTCTACAGTTTATATGTAACCTATGGGTGTCTCAGTGTTAAATGTCAAGTAAACCCTAAAGACTTGATTAATGGATTGAATTTCTACTTCTTCAGAGGTTGGACTGTGCCCAGTAAAAGAACATTGTAGCTTAATAACTGGAACTTGCAAATAGTAAAATTACTAAACTGTATATGTAACACTGTGATATGATTGCACAGTCCTCTTTCTTGATTTTGGATTGAACTGCTGAGTGGCTTTCTAATCCTCTATGCCACCCTTTGATTCATCAAACTGGGACCGTATGGGCTTTTCAGTATTCTGAATGGTGAAGTCCGGTCTCAGCTGGATGTGAAAAGAAACATCATAGGATGAAAAAAGTACAATACACAAACAGTGAAATCCTTACATTGATTTATCAGAACCATAGGTAACTTGCTAGTGATTTTAATGTAAAATATTTTACCTATAACAATATTGTAAATATTTACAATATTAATAAGACTAGTACTTTTTAAATCATTGAAAAGAAAACCCATGCTTCTAGCATGTTACTCCATTACAGACATACTGCTTTCTCTAGCAGTACTTGCACTAAGATTTTGCACTATGTTTTATTTATTCATGATTTCTTAGTTGTGATTGAATGTGACCTGGCTTATCACCTTTTTTTTTTTCCCAGTGGTATTTTCCCTGATGCTTTTTCTCCATTCACTAATTGCTTCAAAGTCCCCCAGATGTTTCTGAAAGTGCTTTTATTATCACTGCTAATGGTGTTCCTCTTGGTTTGTTTTTGAAATCTTTTCCTGTCCTATTTGCCAGCTCCCCAGATGGCTCACTGTCTTACTCTTAATTTGCTCTTTCCTCCCCCCTTTTTAGAAATTCACTCTCTCATTGCTTCTCTCATCACAGTTCTGGCATGTTTGCATTCATGTAGCTCTCAGCCAAGTCTTGCCAAGTCTCTTGACAGTTGTCCCAGATCTCTTGATACTTTATGGTCCATCAAGCGTTTTTCAAATGTGTTAAGCTGTTGACTTTTTGATTTATTTATTTTTATTTTCAACTTTCTTGACCATGTCTGACAGATCTGTTAACTTGTCTGGTGTGTTTTCTCTGCTGAGGTAAAAGATGAGCAGTTTCAGTGTTGGTGGTGAGGAGAGATACGCTTGGGGATAGCTTTCAAGGATAGCAGGCTAACCAGTTCCCCTCAGGAAATGGGAATCTGAACATCCTCAGAGCCCTGAAAGCCCTCTGACTTTCTCACTGTAGCAAGTCTCCTGCTGGAGTATCTCCTGAAGGTACCTGATAGAGGAAGGCAACTGACCCTGAGTTTCTCTTCCCAGTCTCGGGCATCAGGCTGTGCAGTAACATGAGATGAGTGACCTTTTCCAACATTAGAATATCAAAGTGAGATTCATTGTGGCAAATCTTAAGAAGGGAGAGGAGAACTTTTCCTTTTTGCTCAGAGACTCTCACATGCCCAGAGAATCACTTCGCTGTTTTCTGCAGGGCATTTGCTGTGGAAATGGAAAGTAAGGGCCCACCTGGAAAGACTGCTTAAATATGTTTTTAGGGGGTATATCAGACAGCGCTGATGCACATGTGTCAGCAGAGCAGTTTAAGGTGCTTCATTTGCAGTGTGTGAACAACATCTGATCAAATATTTTGAAGACATACTGAATTAAATATAACCAGATATCACAATATATGCAGTGATGTTTTAATACATATTCTGAGTTGTAAGTGAACTGTAAGTGAAGCATGCCTTCTGCACTCTTCTATGAATACTAATCATTATTTAGGGCACTATGAAAACAATAGTACTATTGTAGCTGACACAACATCCTTGGTGGAGCAGAGTATCTCTCTAAAGAATAAAGAACTTCTGGCACTTCACCCCATGGCACCCACAGGAACCTCCCAAGCTCCAGCGAAAACTGGAATGTAAGTCAGAGGTTAGTTAACAAATGAAAGCCAGAAACATCATAGCAAAAAATAAAGAAGACAGCTAAAGAGAGCTAATCAAGCTTTTCAGCTTCATTGACCTCTACATAGTAGTCAGCGGTAGAAGAAACAGATTTGAAATTTTTTGAAAAATCCATTATTTCAGTTTTGGGTTTTATTCAACAAAATGAAAACAGCAACTTAAGAAAAATATTGTTAGCCACAAAAGGCATTTCTTAAAGAGAAAAAAAAAAAGGAACATTTCTGTGGTCAGTTTAAATATTTTCCTTGTTAAAATCAAAACATTTTGTCCTGACAGTCCCTATTTCTAATCATTTTGAAACTTTTTTATGTAGAAAAACCTCAGAAGAATGGTTTTCCATTCCAAAACCTCCTTACGAAACAAAGAACTTTGGAGCTCCATTCTGGAACCGATGACACATGTTTTGGCATTAATGAAGGCTGTTTTTAAAAAAATAAAGGTTTTGGACCAGCCTATTTTTTTTTTTCCATTTGACAGTTTTCATTGAAAATCTCCTGAAGTTTTGATGCATTCTCATCCTAGCTCATTGAGTTACCTTTTAATCTGGCATCTGATCAACATAAACCTTCTTCTCATAACTTGTGAGCAAATGCAGAGTAGCAGCAGAGCAGCACTATAAAGAAATGACTGAAGAGACATTGCAGATCAAGAGAGCATAACAGTGCAGGTATATGGCTCTGGATGTCTGCCAAAGATCTTTAACTAAGCTCAGAGCTAGATTATATACTACTTCTATGACAGAAAAATAATAAACTTAAATTGAACCTAGGATCGGTCTACAGAAATATTTCTTTGTGCTATAAAATATCTTTGACACATTTTTGAATAATTATACTATTAAATATGAGTGCTGTTTACTGTTTCCATGGTTGTTCTTGTTAGCAGCAGTACTACTGCTGCACAATGCTCCCACTTAATGACAGATCAGGAAGTTTTCAGTGCATTAACATACTGTACACATCAGAAGAAATTAACTCATTCATACACTGGCCTATCATCAGACTAGAATCAAGCCATGTAAATTAAATAAGCATTCCTACCTTTAAATTCAGTCTCATGACACTACAACCTGTTAGATATTTTCCCTTTTCTTAAGGATTAAGGAACTGATTTTCCCTGAGACCGAACGGAGCTTATGAATAGGGCACTGCTGATGAAGCCACTCCTTCCCTTGTGCAACTTTACTACAGTTAGGGAAGCCTCTTGGAAGAAAAAGAAAGGAGAAGGATGCAGGAAAGGAGGCATAGTGATAAATTTGCCTTTTTTTTCTGTACCATCAAACAGTGTTTACCTAATCCAGAAAAGCTTTGGCTGTGTGGATGATCACACGCATTTCTTCTTATCACAGATCTGAGTCAGAACTACTCAGAAAACTGGCAAAATGAGCCAGATGCTAGGATCTAGTTTCATCTTTCCTTTGCAACAGTTTGGGTAGCTTTTTTAATCACTGAAAACATTTTCAAAAAATCTCCCCCACTTCTCCATCTATGAAAATTATCTCATCTGTTGCTGACTGATACTTTCTTATCCCTGTTTTGAATACTGCAGAATTTTTGGCAATAATTTAGTGTTTGCAACCTTTCCAGAGTTTTGGTCCAAAATACTTTTTTTTTTTTTTTCCTTTTCCTGTTACTGTAATCTGAAGGGTTATGGTAGATTTTCTGTAGCCAAAAATGTATGATATTCAGTAATGGGTTTTTAGAAAAAATAAGGTGACATCTACATGCTTTCACGAAAGCTGACACTGAAAAATGTTATTCTTGGAAACCTGCCTGTCTGTGTTTCCTCTCTGGCTGGCATTCACAAATGTGTTTCTCTCTGTCTCTCTCCCTCTCCTATTCTTTTTGTTTTCTCACTAATAGGAAGGGGACAAGCAATTAATCAGAGAAACAGCCACGCACCAGCTCAACCCAGAGCGCTATGTTCACACTTTTAAAGATTTGTCTAATTTCTCAGGATCTATAAACATTTCCTATCGCTACCTAGCTGGCACGCCTTTGCCAAGGAAAAGTAAGTAACTGCAATCTGAATGTTATAAAATGAAGTAATTAAAAAATGGGTGAAATCCATAGAGTCCCTGTGGTATTTCTAGGCAAGAGGGGCTGAGTTAATCAGTGACAATCTCAGAGAGTTAGTGGGGCAGGTTGCTCTCTCTGCAGAGGCAGTTCCTGGGCAGCTGCTAGTTCAGCCCTAGCAGTGACTGCCCCCCACAGCCTGGTTACCTTCTGACCAAATGCTTGGTTTGTAGTCGTCCTGCAGGCAGCCCCTGAATGATATGTGTGAGCGTATTTTTGTGGATCTCCCCCAAGGCCAGAAGGAGATCATTTAGAAAGCAGGAGCAAGGCACGTGCTGGTGTTGGTCTGTAACCACCCTCTCAGACCATACTGTGGGCCTCTGTCTGTGTAGCCAGTAAATCCAATCTAAGGTATGCTTGGGATCATGTAGATACACCCTTCAGGTCCCCTATTTTGCCAGTCCAGCAGCTGTGGATGGATCTCCTTGTTCCTTTAGCTGTGATAACAAGGGAGGTGAACTGTGCTATTACGAGGACAATAAAGAGGATTCTTCTCGCAGCCATCTACAGATGGACTATTTAGTTATTCTGACTTCAGGCAGGGTTCAAAACTTTCATCTTCAAGTGAAATATGGCCTTATTTCATAAATCTAGGGCTTTTAGATGGGTGTTCTTTGGGTTCCAAATCAATCATTTCACAAACATGGCTCTGAAGTTCAAGCATAAAAGGTAAAATAAAATAATCTGTGATTTGTTGATCTTCATAGAAAGCTATAAAATTTGCTCAAATTAGATTTGAGAAATTTGGGGTTCTATAGGCAGCCTAAATGGCTTCTGGGGGTTGTACTTCACTGTACAACTGCATTTTAATCAGACTTACGCCTTGAGGGAAACTGAATCACTTTATCAAAGCAGTCTTTTACAAACCACAGTATTTTAAGAAAGTTGGAGTAGTTTCAACTGAAGTATGCCCTATCAGTTATAAAGTCTTAACATTTTTTACATCAGAAGTTAGAAAAATTGAGATATATTAGCAAATATCTGAAAAAAGTTATTTGGGCTGCTGGTTAAAACGCAATGTCAGTGACTCCAAAACAGCAGAGATGAAAATTCTTCCCATATAATTAAGATGCATTTCTCCCTGGAAAGATGTAACAGCATTAAAAATTATTTATACAAGCACAAATATGCAGTAGTAAGTTCTCTTCTACTTTAAAATAATATCTAAATTACATCTTGCAACAGGGAGTTCCCTGTAACATGCTCAGCGAGTCCTGAAAGGGGGTTAGAGGAAGAATTATTAGCAAGGAAAAACTGAACAGATTCAGTTAAAAATGAACATACAGAAAAAAATTATCCATGCGACATTCATAAAACTATAAAGTTATGCATAAACGTAACTAGTCTTGTAGAGTGTTTACACTGATAAAAGTTTGACATTTAATCTATAGCTCACTTTTTTGTGCTGCATTTCACAGTTCCTTTAAAAATATTGTCTGAATCATATCTCATAATCCCTTTTCTTTTAGCAGATTCTACAGCCTTGTCATTGTCTATGTGGTTTCCTCTACCAGGCATATAAGTGCACATTGCTTTGGCTTTTGTCCACTCCATGACATTCCTTGCAGTTAATAAGTGAATGTTGAATGCAATAGTTTCCATATGTCTATTTGCATGCAATATGATTCTTCTTCCATTAAAAGGCAATAAATGTCCTTTGTTGCATGTAGCTTAAAAAAATTCACATACTAAATTTCTCAGCCTTCACCATTCAAAAGATTTATTTAATATAAGCACAGGTCTGGAGGATAGCTTTGTGGTGAAATGGTTTCCAACATCAGATACTCAAGTTTTTGTTTGAATTGTCTTTTGTACAGGGTATCTTACAATTGGGCTATCCTCTGTGAAACGGAAAAAGGGTAACTACTTGCTTGAGACCATCAAGTCCATATTCGAGCAGTCAAGTTATGAGGAACTCAAAGAAATCGCAGTGGTAGTGCAGCTGGCAGATTTTGACTCAGCCTGGTGTGAAGGAATGGTCCAAGATATTTCACAGAAATTTGCACATCACATAATTGCAGGCAGATTAATAGTTATTCACGTCCCTGAGGAGTATTATCCTGTACTGGATGGCCTCAAGAGAAATTACAATGACCCAGAGGACCGTGTGAAGTTTCGATCCAAACAAAATGTAGATTATGCTTTCCTTCTGAATTTTTGTGCTAATCTTTCTGACTATTATGTGATGCTAGAAGATGATGTTCGCTGTTCAAAGAATTTTTTGACTGCTGTTAAGAAAGTAATTACCTCACGAGAAGGATCCTACTGGGTGACTTTAGAATTCTCCAAGCTGGGGTACATTGGAAAGCTTTACCATTCCCATGACCTTCCACGCCTGGCCCATTTTTTGTTGATGTTTTACCAAGAAATGCCTTGCGATTGGCTGCTCATCCACTTTCGTGGGTTGTTAGCTCAAAAGGAAGTGATACGTTTTAAGCCATCTCTGTTCCAGCACATGGGATACTACTCATCTTACAAAGGAGCTGAAAACAAGCTAAAGGATGATGATTTTGAAGAGGAATCATTTGACATCCCTGACAACCCACCTGCAAACTTGCACACCAACATGAATGTATTTGAAAACTATGAGGCAAGCAAGGCTTACAGCAGCATTGATGAGTACTTCTGGGGCAAAGCTCCTTCTACTGGAGACTTCTATGGGATTGTATTTGAAAAGCCCATTAAAATCAGTAAAATTAAAGTTGTCACTGGAACTGAAGACCGGCAAAATGACATTTTGCATCATGGAGCCCTGGAAGTAGGAGAAAAGATTGTAGGGAGTAAAAAAGGAAGAAAATGTACTACCTACTTGAGACTAGGGGAATTCAGAAATGGGAATTTTGAAATAACAGATGTAGAGCACAAAGTTCTGTTTGATATTAACTGCATGAGAATACTTGTTACCAAAAGTCAAAAAGAATGGCTGATCATTAGGAGCATTAGCATCTGGACTTCTCAAACACCAAATCAATAAAGCAAAGCACAGAGTGCATACAGTCAGCTGGGTCCCAGTTGGTGCCATTCCCCAGAAAAACTGACATTTTCAACACTTCACTAGAGACACAGAAAATCTGGGGAAATCACAAAACAAGCAAAGCAATTTATTTTTTACTAGTTTGGCCAGGCAATATACAAACACTTTGTTGAAAATTTTGAATTTTATAAGAAATGCAAAGTTCTCAAACCTCGCTTGAGATCTTGAATCCCCTTTTTTTTATTATTTCTCTGTTAGAGAGATCTTCTGGACTAAACAGAACAAAACATCCTATAATTACCAAAAGGTTTAAAGCTATGACCAGTACGTTGTGAAAAGAAATAAGAAATTGGATTGCACCTTACGCACATATAAATTTAAAATGTTATCATAGTATGCATTTGTACAATAGTTGTTGGTATGTTTCTTTTAAAGGCAGTTGTGACACGGAAATCAGTCCTGAAAGTGGCAGTTTCATTCTAAGCACTGTAAGAAAATTGTGTGGCTAATCATTGCAACTTCTTTTCAAAAGGGAATGTATGTAAAATTATAAATCTGACATGACAACTATGTAAAAAATAGATAATTGCATCTGTTATTCTGTCTCATCAAATATCCTTTGTTCTTTCTCCTGGGCCCTTTCACTGAAACAAGCACTACCTGGATTCTGTAATATTTAGGGGACCAATTTACTCCCCTTATTGGAACAAAATGCCTCACAGTAAGCAAGCATTCTGCTTGAGTACAGATGTCACTATCAAACACAAGCATCTCAAGGGCAACCACTGTTCTCTCAGACAGGCATCTTAACAGATCTCAGCTTCAACATTTTCCATTCCTTCACAATATGCAGAACCCCCCATGAGAAATTTGCACATAGCCGAATACTACAACATGCTTTCCAACAAATGGTATGCCTTCCATGTCTACATGTCCAGCCCATGTATGATACAAACGTAATGTGTACCGGGTTAATCAGTTGGAGGTGAATGTAACCACCAGTCTTTCCTGGATGATCTCTAGCCAACAGAGCAGACACAAAAAGAAGAATCTTGATTCAATGAAAAATCAGTATGTTTCTAAATATTTTTTTAAAAGTTTTCTAATTCTGATCATGTTACTTCTGTAGACATTTTCCGCTGCCTCTGGTTATTCCCTGAAAGCTTATTTTGCCTGACTTTAACCAATAAGCAAAAAAGTTCCCTCAATCATTACTTCAGCGTCGGCTCTCAGCCTGTAGCGCATCACAGAGGGAGGCTGTATAGAGAGATGATTTATACTATATGCATTACATTTGGATTAGCAGAATCTATGGGGTTTTTTCCTCTAAGAATTTCTCCAGACTCTCTCAGTAGACACACTAAGAAATACATGAGTATCAAATGTGACACAAATGAACACTATATTGTCAATCTCATGAATACTGTGGTTATCATCTAATTGCGTGTATGGGTTTTACTTAAACCTGGAAGGCAAGGATTAAATTTCCTTGGAAATTTTCCAAGGAATGCCTGCACTGACCAAGAGTGAACTAACTACTGTATTCAGTATATCCAAACCTAACATGGCAATTTCAGAAGGGTAAATTATTAAAAAATCTTCACAAAACAGCAATACAATTGCTTTTCCTGGTTCATAAATCCTGATAAATTCAGGTCCAGGTTTGGCAAATCCCCCAACATAGAGGTAAGGTACATTTTAAAATAAATCTTCTGATATATGCTTCTCCATAATTTAGAAAAACATCCTCTTCTGAAATAAAGTTTTTGTTTCTTTGTTCGTTAATACACACCTAACATTATATTCATCGTATACCCACTTTCAGTAAAATAGATTAGACGCAGTGCACATGTTCATTCTGAAATGGAAAACAACAATTTTTAATATTAAAAATACATTATAATCTCAAATGGTTGCAAATACTTATGAAGGACTTGCTTTTTGACAGTGATCTTCCATGATTAACAAATAATTAGTTGATAATTATTCATTAGTCAACACCAATTTTTTGAATGAACTGTCATTCTTCTATTTTTTCCTTTTCTTGGTCGTTAACTATTAGTGCCAAAGCAAACATAACTAGGTTAACCAGGAACATTACCTTTACTTTTATTCAGAAATGCAGTATGTCCAAAACAAACTTCTAAATTAAAATGGAAAATATATTCAATCCCAAGGTTTAAAATGTTCTTGTAATCAAAACCATATACAGTGTGAATGGCTACTAGAAGTTAAATGGTCTCAACATAAGTCTGCTTTCCTTTTTAAAACAACAGTAGCAATGAGTCTCATCTTCGGTATCATGGTTTAGCAGTGAGAACTCTCATCTGCATGTTACCAGTCTGAGAGGGTCCAACCCACAAATGTAAAGTGAAGGCCTTCAAAGGATGCTTTTCTTAGGTGTGGATAGTGGTATGTGCTGGGAATGAGAGGTGTGCACCACTCTTCCTGTTTTAGTTGATTTGGAAAAAATAATTGACAATACATTTATTCCAGGAGAGGCAAGAACACAGTTCTGTAAACTAGCGTTTTGAGCATTCACCTTAGTGCATGGGTCCCAGCTGCTCTTCACAGAATGTGCATTTTATCCAACTCAATCACGTGAAAAAGGTTGCCAGATTTTGAAAATTAACAAAGAAAAAAAAGAGACGTAAAATCAGTGATAACTGGTTTTCAGACAGATTTCAGAAAGATATATTTGAAGATACATTTTTTTTCTGCATGTGCTAAGAAAAATGATTACCTTCTGAAAATATTTAATCAGACATGTACATGTTCACTATTACTTCTCAAAGTTTGGATTTTTTTTTTTCACTGATGAAGCAAAAGGTTAGCAGTGTCTCAAAGCTCTGTTCACTGGTGTACACAGTTGGTTCTGTTGGTGTGTATTTGCTGGGTTCATTTGTGGACTGAACATCAATATTGAAATGCCAATACTGAAAATACCATGCTGTGGTCTGCACACTGAGGGATCTATTCTTCACTAACATGCATGTATTGTTCCTATTGGCACTGTTTGGGATCCCTCACTGTATGATGTCCCTGGGTCTTTTTATCTTTTCTTAACTGAAAGCCAGTTTGTCATCTTATCTTTCTTCATATAGTGTAATCCCTCTGACACAGGGAATTCTTGAGAAGTAAAATGTTACTCACTGTGAATTAAAATAAGAACTGAGACCTTCATTTAGTGCAGAATAAACAAACCCAGAAGACAGTGATTTTCAAGCAAAACAGTTTTAGCATATTTACTATATGTACTATGATAAAGATAATAAGATAATTCACTAAGGTGCTATATGAATGTGTTATTTTTGGATCAGTGTTCTAACATGATGCTCTATTTTGCTCTTTGATCAGTATTCTATTGTGTTAGACCCTAATGTTTTTGCTTTTATGAAGGGAAATTGGGAACTTGTTCATTACTGAATTATTGAAAGTTAAATAGCAAACTGTAACACCTTAGAAGATATTTCATCTTGGAAAACTATTAAAGGAAAAAAAAAAACAAAACCAAAACATGGTTAACCATCTCAAAAACTGCAGATGCAATCCTCAATCATTGTGAAGTATTTCAGAGATTCTGATGGAAATGACAGTTCTTACTACTCATGTTAATTTTGCAGTTCTATTAGGCTACATTTCAATAAGTTTTAAGTTATGAGGGGTAACTTGAACTCAAGCCATGTCATATGTTCATATGGTAGAGTATGTTTTGAAAAACACAGGTGGAAAATACAGATGTATATTATAATGAAAAAATAAGTGATTTTAATGTCATATTCTATATAAAAAGACAAATAGATTGAAGTCCACGCCACTCAGCTTTTCAGATAAAGTTAAACAAGGGTCTTAATTCTTGTTCTCTTCTCTTTAGTCCTTGGAGATGGAAACTTTAGGGGAAGCAGGATTGAACTATGTATCATAAAAGACTAAGTGTTGATTTTGTAAAATTTTTTTTAAATATAAATAATTTTTTTTTCTTATCTTTTCATTTTAGTTTTAGCCACCCTGGAAGGCTGAAATGCAAATAGTCTCCAAACAGTTGTATTTTGGTATCTCTGGATGGCATATTCCAAGTTCTTGCCTCTTTTACTACTCTTGTCACAATAAATACATTCTATGTCACCTTTAGCAGCAGGCATGTAGACTAAGGCTAGATTTCTGCTTCTGCTGTAAATGGAAAGAAAGAGGAGCACATCCAGAGTCATCTCAGTGTACAATGGTTGGCTAAGATCTGTTTCTCTCTACTGCCTGTGGTGAGAGGCTATGCAAGTGGTTTGGCATAAACGTTCATTTCCTAGATATTAGAGATACAGATCTGTTTCTTTTGCATGATTACTTATAATACGTATAGATCTAGATAAAAATACATGATATGTATAAACCTTTACAGATATTTTATTATCAGCAGCACCACTCTTCACAGCAGGGATGTGAGTATCTTCTTCATAAATACTACCTTGCCATTTCAATGAAAATAATTTGTTCAGCTTTAAAATAAGGAATATGAATGTCCACCTTGACTCCAAAGCATTATTTATTATGTTAGTTTAACAATGAAATTAAATACAGAGAAAGATTAATTACAATAACATTTCCATAATAGTAGTTTGTTGTTAAAGCCTAAAACTGAATTGGCATCTGGGCAGATACTAGGCTATTTTTCAGCCACGTTTCTATATGGTTTTTAACTGTCATACTACCTACTACAAATTCTTAAATAAAATTCCACTTTATCCTGACAGTTGTAAAAAGGTTCCTAAAATTCCATGTAGAACTTGAAAGGATATTAAGTAGAACTCTTATGTAAGAGTTTCACATTTAATGAGTAAAGCTGAACATCAGAAGCTGATGCTCATTTCCTCCATTCATCTGGTTAAATAGCTGCCTTCCCTCTTTCTTCCTATTTACTCATTACTCGTTGGTTTTGCTTTTGCCAGTTCAGGAAAACCTGCCTGGCAGCCATGGAAATCTCAGGATGTGAATTCTCAGTCTGAAAGGTACTGTGTTTGTACTTTATGAAATGTTCCTGTTTCTTAACAGACATGTACCGTTTTTTGAAAAACAGCACAAGCACAGTGTTCAGTTTCTAGGGCTCTCCCTTGGTGTTATTAAAGTGGGTTTTCTTCCTAGATAACTGCATCAAGAAAAGACATTAAAAAAGACATTACCAGAAAAAAAAATAACTGCTATGCAAAAGACCTACTTCTAACTTTTAAAACCAGGTTCAAAGGTGTCTTTGTCATCAGGCTTCATCTTCTTCTTGAGCAATTTAAGTAGAAAAGATGAAAATACCATGATGGCAAGAAAAGGTTAAATAAATATTATGTGTGTATATTTCTGCTGTATGATTGCACTTGAATTAACTTACCATTTAAAGGTGGTTGGTTGTCAGGGTATCATCACTGTACTAACCCTTTTACAGCAAAAGGGAGCCTGTGATGGCCCCTAGAACAGCTCTTTTTTGCTGTCTCAATAAAAATAATAGAGTCAGCTTTCAAAAGCATTGCCTTGGGCATGCACACTGATGTGGTACACAAAGAACAATATTGGCCGTCTGTCCAGCCTGTCCTACTGCAATGCTGGGATATTTATGTCTACCAGAGTGGGAGTGAAATCTAACAAGGTGCAGTTACTATCTTTGCTACAGTATCTGTAATATTTCTGGAAATAGATGTAAGAGAGGAAAAGACCCTTTGGCTTAATGCCCTTCTGTTTAAGCACAGTACTATTCAGGGGGTTTTTAACTGTAGATACCACATTTTCATTTGTTTAACTTGGGCCAAAAGTGCATATAACCCAAGAGGAAAAAGTATACTTTAAAGGAAAGTTGACAGCAAATTATCGTATGCTTTGCTTTCTCAAATGTATGTTCACCTTGTTCTGATAACCTGGATTTAGAGTTCCTGCTTAAACTGAAGTCTAGAGCAGAAATTTAAAATGTTTTGGCTTTTTTTTTCCATAGCAGACCTTGCATCACTAAAAGCGGAGATTTTAAGGCATAAGTTAAACCCTTACACCGACATTTGCTGCTGCTGAAAGTCCCTTGCTTTGTGCTGATGCCACTTGGGACATTTCAGTTCATGTGGAACTTTATTCTAATTTTGTGTTAACTTTCACCAGCACACACAGGCACTCCCTCCCTTTCTCTTTAATCTCAATACTGAATAAATGAACATCATCTTGGGCAGATATTGCCAAACCACTTTTACCTCCATTCAGGAAACTGGGACTGTTACTGTCATTTATTTCTCAGAATTGCTTCC